AATATATTTTGATTTCTGGGACACCCTGTTATAACCTGTAGAAAAACTCACCTTCTCTCAAAATTGTTGTATTTTTTAGAAAATTGAATAAATTTGTTAAATATGGAACTAATTTTATTCTATAATCTGTTACTTATTCTGTAATCATACACTGAGAGTATCAATGTAAATTAATAGCTCTGTTTTCGGCTTTATTAGGCCACAGTACTTAAATGTAACTGATGTTAAATCCAGCTATAATAATTTATGCTCAAACTTACTGCCAAATACCGCCAATAAGTTTTAAATTGAAAATTTACGACATTATTGATTTCTTCGTCATAAGTATTCCGAGACGCTTGTTTTAATATTTTTCGTCACTGTTCAGCAAGTTTTATACATTTAATTTTAGTTATAAAATGTATATATTGACTAGCGTCTACCAGCGACTTCGTTCGCGTCGAATTAATCATTTGTAATGGTGATGATAAAGCAAAGCAAGAATTTTCATTAACATACAAACTGGATAAAATTTTCTCACATTTATGTCAGCATGAGAAAAACAATATGGCGATATTATTATATAACTTGGTAATATTTGAGGGGTAGTTTCATCTCGTTGGAATTTGACTTTCGAAAAATCCGTTTGCCAAAAATAAGCTTTTTACGTCAAGCAGTTTAAGCAGAATCGTGGTTAAGAAATTACCCAACTTTTTGGAACACGCTGTATGATTTTTTAAAAAATTTCAAAATATGTAAAAAACCAAATAAATTATGCTTGTCCAAGTGTTTTCCCGAAAGACTAACCGTTTTTTAAATATTAAATATTGTAATATTTGAGGGGCGTTTTCACCCTCTCGGAATGTGAGATTCGAGAAACCCCTCCTTATCGAACCTCTACACCCCACAGTCAATCCGTTTGCCAAAAATCAGCTTTAAACGTCAAGCAGTTTAAGCAGAATCGTGATTACTCAATGGTCATATTTTATGAAACACCCTGTATAAATTTACTACAAAACTTAATAATAACTGTTTATATATTTATAATTAATTAGAATTAAGAAATTATAAAGAACATAACTAAAAGTGGGCAATGCTGTGCCGGTCAAGCTTAATCACGTGACTAAAAGTTTGATTTGAACTATATGTACCGGGTGTCCCACTAAGAATAGCTCTCGGCTGTATCTCGGAAAGTATTAGCCGTAGGGCTTACGTAAACAAATATTTATAGCTAAAGGGGCTATAAGAAATTGCTGGAAATTATTTTCAAGTTTGTAAAACGGCCGCTAGGTGGCGCAACTGCTATGGAAAATAAGAAAATAGATTTTTTACAGAATTTTGCATAGATAATAGGTACTATAAATAATAGCTTCATAATCTTCAGTAAATTTTGGATTTTTTTTGTTAGAACCATTTTCCCCTATCTGCTAAAATAAAATGGTGGGGGAAGGTTAGATCTATCTTTATTTAAATGTTAATAACTCCGGACTGGATGATCAGAATCTAACAAACGAGAGCTCGTTTAAAAGAGCGTTTCTTACTCTATATTATACCATAAAAATAATAATAATAAGGTTTTTAACGTAGACGCTTTCTTACAATTTAACAAACATATCGCGTTTCTTCAAAAAAATTAAATACAATAGTATGTGTTATTTTAGCTGATAGTAAAGAGTATTAAAAGCTTAAAAAGTCAGCGAAAACCGCATCTTGATACCTTCTTTCAAACCGAAGATATTGGCAAAATTATAATAAATGCCAAAAAATAAGCCCTTTTTACAACACGGTATCAGTAGCCCTCTTGATTATGCCCATTCTAACCTAAAAATAAGATAGAAACAGTTAGTTTATTTTAAAATCGACGAAATACCAGAATTCCATAATACCAGATATATTAATATCTAATAATTAAGATATTAATAATAGTGAGCAAAAAACGATGATTCAGTGAAGTCATGGTAGGCTTTGGAAAAAAGTTGCTTTTCGCGTAATAGTATAAAGGTCAAATTGTTATTAGATCACCATTTTGATAGTCTTAGCAGCGTTTTTTTTTATCTTTTAAATGCTTTTTCAAAATGCCTTTATTATTTGAAGTAGTTGAAGTTATTAGCATTTTGAAAAATCCATCAAAAGATAAAAAAAACGCTGCTAAGACTATCAAAATGTTGATCTAATAACAATTTGACGTTTATACTATTACGTCAAAAGCAACTTCCAAAGCCCACCATGACTTCACTGAATCATCGTTTCTTGTTCACTATTATTAATATCTTAATTATTAGATATTAATACATCTGATATTATGATATTCTGGTATATCGTCGATTTTAAAATAAACTAACTGTTTCTATCTTATTTTTAGGTTAGAATGGGCATAATCAAGAGGGCTACTGATACCGTGTTGTAAAAATAAGGGAATTAAGGGCATATTTTTTGGTATTTATTATAATTATGCTAATATCTTCGGTTTGAAAGAAGATATCAAGATGCGGTTTTCGCTGACTTTTTAAGCTTTTACTACTCTTTACTATCAGCTAAAATTACATATACTATTGCATTTAATTTTTTTGAAAAAACCGCGTAATGTTTCTTAAATTGTAAGACAGCGCCCCCTAGCGTCTACGCTCACAAGCTTATTTTTATTGTTTAATATTTATTTATTTTATTGTTGTTATAGAGTAAGAAACGCTCTTTTAAACGAGCCCCAACTTATTGGATTGCGATCAACCAGTTCGGAGTTATTAACATTTAAATATAAACAGATCTAACCTTCCCCCACCACTTTATTTTAGCAGCTAGGGGAAAATGGTTCTAACAAAAAATATGCAAAATTTACTGAAGATTATGAATCTATTATTTATAGTATCCGTCGTCTAAGCAAAATTGTGTAAAATCTCCTTTTTTTATTTTTAATCACAGTTGCACCCTCGAGCGGCCGCTCTACAAACTTGAAAATAATTTCCAGCAATTTCTCATGCTCTCTTTAGTGATATTTTTTTTTCGCAAGCTCTACGACTAATACTTTCCGAGATACAGCCGAGAGCTATTCTTAGTGGGACACCCGGTACGTATAGATTTTTAATAAAATAATTCGAAAAATTGTCCCTAAAAATCACACTTTTAAATGTCATACAAAAGTTTATTTGATTTCCAATTAAAAACAATGAATGAAATATATTTAATATTTTAATATAAAATGCGTATCATGATCAGATAAATTATGAATTCCTTTTTTACGAAATATTTTTCTTTAATCTGCAATTTAAATTACAATAATTAAACTAAATTGAGTTGTGTGTTCTTCTGAACGTCTGGCAATTAAAATTCTTCTTACGTAATTTTATATTTCATGTATTTTTTATGATTTTTTTATTTCATTTTTCATTTATTTTTTCTCTCCAAAATAAATTTTACATTTACTGCCATCTTTTTTTTGTTGTTTTTTTGTAACCTATTTCTCGATATATCTTTTCCTACATATGTATCCATATATCAAAAGCAAATTTATATCGATTTCTACAAATGATAAATGAGCTTCTTGGTTATTATTGCCCTCCAAAACCTTTAGCGATAACTATATTCTGCTATTTACAATGGAAGATCAGATATCACGATGAATAGATATATTTATTATAAAATTGTAAATATAATATTACAGAGAATTTTCTTCAGCTCTGTATGTTCTTAGTTTTACTATAGTACAAACGATATATTTTTTTATAAATAATAAATCGCTTTATCACTCTGTATCTAACGCAACTTTCTTTGTTTCTTAAAAAAAATAAAAATCTAATTATATTTCTGTCAAAAATAATATGGCAAGTGCGTTGTAATTTTTCAATATATATGCTATTAATATTTAAGCTCAACGTATACGTCGCACCCTTGCAACTATGAAGGTTTATGAGCTCTTCTGTCTTGGTGTTTTCTTATATTTCATTTGCATCTGCATATCTCTAGTGACAGAAGGGCATAAAATAAATAATCTCCCTCAATATTTTACCTTGTCATCGTAAACAGCAATTTGTAAGCATGCGATGCTTTCTACTAAAACTCTCTTTCTTTTCTTTACTATGAACGAATAAACTAAATTGTATCATATATAAAAATGACTGCAATTTGTACACTTATTGTAATTACAGTTTATTTCAGTTGAATTAGAAATACAAAAATCATATTTAATTATACCCCAAATACAGGGTGGAGCACCTCATTCTCGCCTCGGTTGATTATAAGAAATCGGAAAGATGTAGAAACAAAATTTTTTATGTGCGTCAGAACCTATGGTCAGAAATAAGATCCATACCAAAGTTATATGTTTTCTTATGGAACACCCGGTATTTTATTTCATTTTTGGATTCTTGGGCATAAAATGAGACATTTATTATAAGTGTTTAATATGTTTAAATGTTTTGGTTTTTGAGATTTTTAAAGATATTTAAATATGCATGCTATAATAAAAAAGTTTGTCAACACATGGTACATTACTTTTCAGAGTTAATTCTTGTGCTGACTTTGAAGCCAGAGAAATAAACTTTACCAAAAAATGTTATTGCTTCCTTAATTGTATACAGGGGTGTCATAAATTGCTGGTCTATTTTAAATATTTATCTTACATAAAAACAAGTCGAAGCAGATTTAGATGCTCTCTCGAACTATATTAGGGTTTCCTATACCTATCTGGCTCAGATTTTGAATAAAAAGCTATTTTTCAAAAAATGGCAATGAAGATGGCTGGTGTGGCCATGGCAATTTGCTAGTGACAGTTAGTAGCTATTTTCAAAATCGACATTAGTTTTACAAACAGTTTACTTTAGTTTTCTTTATTTAGTCCTATAAACATGAATATCATATGATATGATAAAATTAAACATGAATATCATATCTATGAACATTATAAACGACGTCTAGGGATTGACCTTGCCAAAATTATTATGGACTGTCGTTCCCCAGCCGTTCTTGACGCATTTTTTTCGATCATACAGTATTATTTTACTACATTTATTTTTGTTTGATTGCAGTGTGATCCAGGCGTGGCAATTGACAGATTGTTTCACGCCATCTACTCTGAAAAAACTGTCACTATGTTATTGGGATCGGGCTGTTCCAATGTCAGTGAAGCATTGGCACATATAGTGCCATACTGGAACATTTTGCAAGTAATTTTAACAACGTAAAAATATAGAATTCATCCCTTGTAGGTTGGCATGTTCTGTTTCTCATTTTTTTTAATTAGAAAAAAATAGATCACTCTAATAGCAGCATTTTTTTGTTGACAATAATTCTGGGATTTTCTTTTCTAAGAAAATAAAATATTTTTTTAGGTTTCATATGGTTCAAAATCTCCAAGTTTGTCCGATACAAAGAAATTTCCATTGTTTTTTCGTACAATTGCTCCGGATTCGTCGCATGACATTGCCAAAGTTCATTTTATCAAGCATTTCAACTGGCAGGTTGTTGCCACTTTTAGCGAGAGTGAAAATGCTTACTTGCTGCCAGTAAACAAGCTGATAACTGACCTGGAAAAAGAGAATATAAGTTGTGCAGCTACTGTAACGTTCTCCATAGATAATTATAAAGACCAGTTAAAAATATTGAAGGTAAATATAGTATTCGTTTATATTTATGCATCCGAAGAATATTATCGAAGAAACACACTTATATATTTTGTTAATAGATAACCCTGTTTTGACATTTTAACATTTTGAATTGGAAAAACTCTTTGAATAAAAATATTAAGGAAGAAGTATAATGCTATCCATGTAATCATGAAAGGTAGACGGACAAAGGACCCCCCTAGGGTGGGGATCCTTGACAGTTCTGTTTGACGATTCATTTGACACATTTGAATTTAATTTGAAATTTTGTGGATATGTCAGTCTTTACTGAGCTTGTTTTATGTTATTTATTATTTATTTTACTACTGATAGTTGTTTAAAGGTAGTAAATCTAGGAGGAAATTTTTGTGGCAGAACTTTAACAGTGACACTATTGCAATTTATCGAAAAAGACTGTAAAATAGTTGGTTGTGTAGCGTGCAGTAGATCTCGATCAAAAATCGAGGGAAATAATGGAATGACTTTTCGCTAGTAATCTATACTAATATATAAAATCCTTAAGTGACTGACATACTGATTAATCACGATCCTGCTCAAACCACTCAACGTAAGAAGCTCAATTTTGGCATACAGGCTGATTCTAGGGTGTAGAGGTTCGATAAGAAGGGATTTTCCGAAATTCCAGTTCCAAGTAGGTGAAACCACCCCTCAAATATTACAATATTTTTTATTTAAAAAACGGTCGTTTCCGAAAAAAACACTTAAACACGTATATTTTATTTTGTTGTTTTACATATTTTAAGATTTTTTTTATAAATTTATACAGAGTGTTTCATAAAATATGACCATTGAGTAATCACGATTCTGCTTAAACTGCTTGACTTTTAAAGCTGATTTTTGGCAAACGGATTGACTGTGGGGTGTAGAGGTTCGATTTGGTTCGATTCGAATCTCAAATTCCAAGAGGGTGAAAACGCCCCTCAAATATTACAATATTTGTTATTTAAAAAACGGTTAGTCTTTCGGGAAAACGCTTGGACAAGCATAATTTATTTGTTTTTTTTACAAATTTTGCTTTTTTTTTTAAAAATCATACAGGGTGTCCAAAAAGTTGGGTAATTGATTAACCACGATTCTGCTTAAACTGCTTGACGTAAAAAGCTTATTTTTGGCAAACGGATATTTCGAAAGTCAAATTCCAACGAAGTAGGTGCCCGGTGGCGTAGATACAGGCTCTCGTCTACCCATCTCAAGATGTGGGTTCGATTCCCACACCCGGCATTTCATCAGCCGACTATTTTTATTAAAATAAAAATAGTTTGGGTACCTAGGTCGACTCAGCCTTAAATGAGTACTTGGGATTCACAATCCTGAGGTAATAATAGGCGGTTGAAGGGTAGTGCTAGCCACATTACCTTCCTTGTATACCGAACGGCTCTAGTATAGTAAGCTGTACCTTGCTACTCCCAAGGCGTTAAACGCTATATACGGGAGCTATTATTATTATTAAATTCCAACGAGATGAAACTACCCCTCAAATATTACCAAGTTATATAATAATATCGCCATATTGTTTTATCTCATGCTGACATAAATGTGAGAAAATTTTATCCAGTTTGTATGTCAATGGAAATTCTTGCTTTGCTTTATTATCATCACCATTACAAATGATTAATTCGACGCGAACGAAGTCGCTGGTACACGCTAGTAGTATAATATACACATACGTGTAGTAAACCGATCATTTATGAAATCCACTTAACATTAATATTTTAAGCGATTTAATTTTTTTTATAATATATTCAATTTTCATTAGCTCCATTCTTAATCTTTTTATTCAAAGTTGTTAATAGATAACTCTGTTTTGACATTTTGAAGGCTGCTTCCTAAATAGTCTAAAAAATTTGAGGATGTGATTCCTCATATTTTTTTTAAGAAAATAGTTGTTAACTTGGTTAGCGAAACGCACGTCTGCACCTCCAATGTTAAACTAAAGTGTTTTAGTGCATTGTGGGGAACTAGTGTTCTAATTTACTGTAGATATTTAATAATATATTATTAAAACGATTGCAGTGGTACTAAAATTTAATAAACAACTTAGCAATATTATACCCTATCATAATCACGTGCTCTGCCTTGTTCATTTCATCCTATCGAGCATAACAATAAAGAAAATAATAAAAATTTTACATGTAAAACTAAAGTTTATGTAGCCAAGGTCCACAATAATAAAAGGGCAGTGAAATATAAAGATTTATGAGAATTCGGAAAAATAAAAGCAGGTCAAAAATAAAATATGACTTAGTCTCTAAGCGTTTTGGGACTTCTTGGAATTTTTATTTGGGCATTTGAATACAGACAATATTAAAAAAAGTTTTTTTGATATTCTGGATATACAGGGTGTCCAAATAATCCATGAACAAAAAACGAACTATTACGTATTTTTGGAATCAAAATAAGTTCATTGGACCCAATTTACCTCTATACAAAAGTGCTTGGTTTGTCCGTTAGAGGGCAACAAACTATAAAAAATAAACACATTTTTTCAGATATTTTAATAACCGTTATTCCGATTTCAACGAGATTTGGGGTGTTTATGTTTTGCTAAGCTCTTTAATATTTGACTTTCACAAAACAATTGATCCTTCTAGTATTAATACATTTTTTGTCTTCTGTTGTCTGAAAAATAACTTTACATACCAAAAAGTATTTTTGATAGAATAAATATTAAAACAATATTTTGAAACATAGGAATGATACCAAAATAAATATTTCTTTTATTTTAGAGTTTGGATATACGCATAATAATAAGCAGTTTTTCTTCAAAAATGGCTTCTAAAATATTTTGTGCCGTAAGTATACAAAATTCAAAATTTTCAAAAACTTTTTTTGCGAAAAAAACTAAAAAAGTGTTTTAGGGACTAAAAATATTTGCTCTAATTTAAGACTCACCCTGTATAATTTGCAGTAGTATACAGTATGTCCCCGGATTGTCTTTACAATAGGAAAAACTTTTTATTATTGACATTTTAAGAAAAATACATTCTTCATAAAAAATGTTTGCTTGTCCTGAAATAGTTAATCCCGCTTAAACTTTTTCAAATATCCATACTGTTTTAGAGAAAATTAAAAAAAGCATGAAAATATGGTTGAAAGGTTGAAAGTCCTAAAAATAAAAACGCGTTTCTATGGTAATGTAATTTCGTTTTCATTTGATAGATTGTTATTGATAGAATTTTAATTAACGTCATATTATTTGCTGTTTTAAAATGTCCAAGAAGCACAAATTTTATTTAGTTCAATTCTTGTTCAATGCTAGGGAAAGGATGATAATAGTTATCGGAAAATGTGATACTTTTCCGTTTAACAACAGCAAAAAATATGACTTTAATCAAAATAAATATAATAACCATCTATCAAACAATGAAACCTGAATTATATTACCATAGCTTTTTGATTTTTAGGACTTTTAGAAAAAAAAACAATCATATTTTCATGTTTTTAGGGTTCCGTACCCAAAGGGTAAGAACGGGAACCCTATTACTAAGACTTCGCTGTCCGTCCGTCCGTCCGTCGGTCGGTCACAAAGGTCTATCCAAAGTCTATCTTATGAACCGTTTTAGCTAGACAGTTGAAATTTTTACAGATAATGTATCTATGTTGCCGCTATAAGAACAAATACTAAAAACAGAATTAAATAAATCTTTATAAATGAAAAAGTACTTTCACTAAACATTACCTTTTAAGTAAGAATTTTACATAGAATCTTTCAAGTTCTCGGTGGCCGCGTGGTTAAAGCGTTAGGACTTTACGCTGCTATGACGTTGGAGCGGTATAGTATGGCAGGTTCGAATCCTAGTAAAGGCGACTTTTTTTAATCGTTTTTTTTTTATTTTTACATATTTTTATATATTTATTATTGATTAATACAAAGTTTAGTAATGTGTTTCTTCATTTTTTTTAAATTACTTATACGCGCATTCAAAATTTCAGCTAAATCGGAAAAAAAGTTTATAATAACTTAGTGTCTAATGTTGTATAGATAATGAATGGTACGGAAACCTTCGTGCACGAGTCCGATTCGCACTTGACCAATTTTTTTTTAAATTGTCTCTAAAATGATGTGGAAATTTGGAAAACATAAACGGAATTAACCATTTTAGAACAAGCAGAAATTTTAATGAACAATGCATTATTTTCAATATATCATTAATAAAAAAGTTGTGTCCTCTTGTAAAGACAATCTGGGGACATACTGTATATAGTTTTTTGTCAACCGGTAACTCCTATTTTTTTATTTTTTTTTTCAGTTAAATTTGTAATTTTATTTATAATAAAAAATCTTAATTTGTTACACAGCATGATTGTTCTTGGTAAAATATAGCCGTTTCAGATGTTTTAAAATTTTTAATAGACATAATTTTTAGATCTAATGACCTATATCCTATACCGGGTGCGTCTCTAAAGTGACACACCCCTATAACTTTTTATTATTTCAGATAAAAAACGAAAATTAATATGTTAGTATATGACATAAATTAGGAATGATTGACGTATTCAATTATTTTTTGGTCACTTCCTGTTTCACCGGAAATGACTACAGCTTTTGACACCGGAAATGACTAAAGCTTTGAGATTTGATTTGAGTTATAAAAAACGTTATCTACAGTTAGCGCAAACTGACTTAAAACTGTTTTAACTTTTTCGTTACAAGTGAAGATCATTGCCAAAATTCAAAAATAATTAAGTTAACACACGACTACACAGTGGCCCCGAATTCCGAAAAGGTTATATGTATACCGGGTGCGTTTTAAAAGTGGCTCACCCTTATAACTCTTTTGTTTTTTCAAATAAAAAAACTGGATTTGGTATGTTAGTATATGACATAAATTAGGATTTATTGACGTATTCAATTCTTTTCGGTCACTTCCTGTTTCATCGGAAATGACTATAACTTTTGATTTTTAAATGGCACCCTTCGTATTTTTTACTTTATTCGATAGAAAATGACATTCTGAATAGAATGACATATCATATGTCAACTTTTGACATTCTCGCGTAATAAAAAATCGTATTTTAAAATCCAATTTAGAGTACCATGGCTATGTTAAAAACACTAATTCTTATTCAAGGAGCCTTGGAAAACCAGATTTGATCGTCTAATGTTTTTAGTGCCTTGTCCTGGCCAATTAGAAAATCCTTAAATCGTATTTTTAATCATATCTCAATATTTTTAAATGGAACGAGGGTTAGCATATTTGGAAAAAGCATTTTTTTACGAATAATTTGATACCATACACTTGGTATGTCGAGTCAAATTTTCGTTTCGAACCGCAAGTTATAATTTCAAATAAACCATATGCGAAATTGTCAAAAGTTGACATGTGATATGTCATTCAATGCAGAGTGTTATTTTCACTAGTAATACCACTAGAGGTCAAATTATTTCCGGAAATTTTGCCGAGTCGAAGACGAGGGATAATTTTCTAAAAATATTCATGAGCGAGAAAAAATTTTAGGATTTAATTTGACCGCGTGTGGTATTCGGTAAGAAAATTCCACACCAAATTGTGTTTGAAAATCAAATAATTAAAATGTATTTTTCGATTTTTGGTCGACTTCATTATTTAGTTACTATGGTAACTAAGTGACACACAAACCTAAAAACTATTTCAGTTTTGAAGCTGTCAAGCGGCACGGCTTAAAAAAGGTTTCGCTTCGGTCATGAAAGCAATGAAAATATTCGCCAGGAGATTAAGCAGTTGACACCCGCGAATACTAGGAAATCGAAGTCAAGCGTATGGAAGCAGTTTACAAACTTCCATCTCAGCTTTATAATTGAAATGTATCAAAATTATCATGTAAGCAAATAAAAACCAGACTCTCAAAAAGATATTCTGTCATTATAAACGTCAAAAAATTTCCAGTATAATTCGCTGTTGGCTACCCCACAAGGAAAACATTTTCACTAAAATTTATCCGTTGCCATGGTGATTTGTCAAAAAAACACGTTTTGATTGGTTAAAAATTACATGTGTGGAATTTTCTATCAAATAAAGTCAAAAAATACCTAGGGTGCCATTTAAAAATCAAAAGTTGTAGTCATTTCCGTTAAAACAGAAAGTGACTAATTTATGTCATATGCTAACATACCAAATCTCGTTTTTTTAACTGAAAAAACAAAAAAGTTATAGGGGTGAGGCACTTTTGAGACGCACCCGGTATTTATATCAGATACAAATAATATGATTTACATCATAGACTTAAAATAAAATATAGACTGAGCATCTCATTCATAAATAGCTGGAACATGCGGTCAGACAACGTCTTGTTATTGTTGTGTTATTGTTTTAGGTTATAACGAGTGCGACACGAGCGATAGATAGGTTGTCTCTGTCATAACGGTCGTTCCCTGACGACTCTGCCGAAAACACAACACTGTCTTTCGTTTCTCAAGTACACCTGAACTCTCCGTATCATAGCCGGGTAACTTTTTTATTTTAATGAAGCTATAATTAAATTAAAAATATATCGTATTTAAATATTTTATTAAGATTTAGGACAGGTTTTTTGAATAAAAGTTTAGAAAAAAACGTCTTAGAGTCCAAAAAGGATAAAAATAATAAAATACACGTTATAGAAGAAATTTTATAATCGAAATTACGTAATTTTTGAAATTAATAATAAATTATTAATTTTAGTCAAACATTTACAACCCCTAATATTAATCAAAACAGGATCTATTTCACAGATATAATAGAATCGGCGACAGGGAGAGAAAAAAAATATGATTTTTGTAATTTTTTTTCTGGTTAAGTGACGTCTTATTATGTAAATTAGAGAAAACATAAATCTGTTCCATTAAAGCAAGGAAGGTGATAGGAAGTGGATAATATGAAAACTACATTTATTTAACTCGGTACTGTCTTTATTATACCGGGTGCGTTCCAAAAGTGGCTCATCCTCATAATTTTTTTATATTTTCAAATAAAAAATTACATAAATTAGGATTGATTGACGCATTCAATTGTTTTTGGTCACTTTCTGTTTCACCGAAATGAATATAACTTTTAATTTTTAAATGCACCCTCGGTATATTTCTACTTTATTCGATAGAAAATGATAACAATTTAATTTTTAATAATAATATTGATTTCTGAATAGAATGACATAGCATAATATGTCAACTTTTGACATTTTCGCATATGGTTTAATTGTAATTGTAACACGCGGTTCATAACGACAATTTGACTCGAAATACCAAGTGTGTGGTATCAATATATTCATAAAAAAATGCTTTTTCCAAATATGCTAATGAGTCTCCCTTGTTCCATTTGAAAAAATTGACATATGTATGATTAAAACTACGATTTGTACATCTTTTAACCGGCCTAAACAAGACACGAAACCCATTAGACGATCAAAACTATTTTTCCAAGGCTCCTTGATTAAAACTTAGTGTTTTTAACAACACCATGGCACCCTAGATTGAAATTTAAAATACGATTTGTTTTTAAGCGACAATGTCAAAAGTTGACATATGATAGTCATTCTATTCAGAGTGTCATTTTTTATCGAATAAAGTAGCAATATACCGAGGGTGCCTTTAAAAATCAAAAGATGTAATCATTTCGGTGAAACAGGAAGAGACCAAAAACAATTGAATACGTCAATAAATCCTAATTTATGTCATATACCTACTAACATACAATTTTTTTTTGTATCTGAAAAAATAAAAAAGTTATAGGGGTGAGCCACTTTTGAGACGACCCGGTATCTTAAAAAATATTGTTTCATAATGTAATATCATTTTAAAATTCTTGTATGTTATTTTAGATTCTGAAGATAATTTTAAAATAAACCGGAATATATTTTTAATAAAAACATTATTAATTATTAACAGGGTTATAATTATGATTTTGTTACAATGTAAGTAAGTCAATATTGTAATGTAAGAGAAAAAATTCAGATTTTACATTTTACTAAAATATTATCTAAATAAGCGCCTTTCTACAACAACGCCACTGACTCCTAATGGGTAAATTAAGAGTTGCCTAAAGGTCGAAAGTCGTTTCAAGACTTAATTGGATTATTTAAGTCAAATTTCTTGCAAATTAGGCACTGGCGAACCACATTTTATAGTTCTTGAACAGAAAAAGTCAATAAAATAAACACTTAAGGACTACAAGCTAAGAAAATGCGTTAATACAACCGGGGAGATAGCGGCAACAAAGCTTTACCGCACACGTGCAACACGTACTACAAGGTAATAAATGAATGAATAGGCTCCCTCGCCTCTAATCGGTGTTGTCATATTGTAAAGAACTTAGCCTTTTTAAACAGTATCCGACTTATAATTTAGTAGTATAAGGACTATTTAATACATCTCTGGAATATTAAAACCTACTTTATTAAACTGTAGTATTAATATCTCAATATATGTGTATAACAAGAAAAAAAATATTGATAATATTAAAGACGTGACAACATAGGCTGGATGAGGAAGGCTCGGTCGACTGTACCCAGAAGTAAACATGTGTACAAAAAAGGTTGTTTGTCCGCGTTGAGATGTAAATAGTGTAGTCTATATTTTATTTTAAGTCTATGATTTACATATATAAGGTAGAATAAAAAAATAAGTTTCCAAGATAGTTTTGTTCGGTAATACATTAAATAAAATAATCGACAGTGTTGTTTTATAATAAAACATTAATTTGTTATATTAATCTAGATATACGAGCTGAATATGTACGGCAATGAATATGTATGGATCTTGGAAAGGCAAGAAGATAAATGGTGGGAAGGAACATCTGGTTGCAGCCAGGTAAAATTAAAACAAGCTACCGAAGGCGTAATCACGGTGGGAGATTTTGATAAGCTCCGTCGGGATCAGTTATTTAATGAAACAAAGAATGTAAGTTAATATGAAGTTCATAACTTGTCTGTATACGATTATCAATGTCTTTAAATTAATTTTTCATGGTTTTAGTTCTTTAATTTTAGTCAAAAAGTTTTTATCTCGGGTAAAAATGTTTTCGTCTTTTATAAAAAACATATTCTTACAGTGCAAGGACTTTTTTGAAGAAATGATATACAGGATGGTCCAACTGTATTCCGGAAACTTCGACAGCATATTCTGCAGATAAAAATAAGTAAAAAAGTTTGTGTAAATGTATGTCCTAAAATGCTTAGTTTCGGAGATACAGAGTGTAGAAGTATCATTTTTATTTCGATTTTTTCCAAATAATTTCTGAAGTAACATCAATATCTATATGAATATTGGTACCTGGAAGTTTTTTGACATGAGAAATTTGATTTTGATGTCAATATGACTCCTATTTGTAGCCGGCGCTACTTACTTGTGTTTTAACTGTTTTGAAGAGTAATATCTTTTCGTCCGTACCTGTATAAAACTACTGAGTGAAAAAATATACATTTCTGTGAGTTTTTACGTAAAAAAATGTCTCTTAGTAAAAATCGCTACGAGCAGCCGTTCTCAACATATTTAGAACGTTAATAGTCAATACTTGTTATTATTGACAAAAATAAATATTTTACCGAAATTATAAATTTGGGAACTTTTATTTTTTTCAGTTAATCATAAATTTTTCTTCGAAAAAATGATGATAAAACAGTTTCTGTTGAACTTTTAGCACAAAAACATTTCAAATTTATAATTTCAGTATAATAACTATATTTAGTCAACATATTTAATTTAGATTTTAAATATCTCGAGAAAAATTACTTGTAGCGATTTACCAAAAACTTTTTTTGCATAAAAACGTCGTAAATTTGTATTTTTTACTCAGTAGTTTTATACAGGTACTAACGAAAAGTTATTACTCTTTCAACTAGTTAAAAAATATGTAGGTGGCGTCCTTTACAAGTAGGAGTCACATTGATGTCAAAATCAAATTTCTCATGTCAAAAAACATCCAAACACCAATTTTCGTCGAAATATTGATGGTACTTCAGAAATTATTTAGAAAAAATAGAAATAAAAATGGAACTTCTACACCCTGTATCGCCGAAAGTAAGCATTTTCGGACATACATTTTTTATACGAACTCTTTTTACTTATTTTTATCTGCAGAATATACTACCTTCCATTCTGGGGTACGTGTTGTGCGACTCAATTTGACCGCATTTTCAGGCTCCAGAAGAGAGCTGTTCGATATTCACTGGGTCTAAACAGCAGAACTCATTGCCAGGACTTTTTTAAAAAATTAAAAATATTGACTCTTCCTTCCTTATTTATATTTGAATCCGTTTGCCTAATACGTAAACATGTATCACCTTCTCAAGAAAGACCATCTCACACTTATCTACTCAGGAACGCGGAGCAAGATCTTTATCTACCTACCCCACGCTCAGGGTTAGTTAAAAGTTCAATATTATACAACTCGAAAAAAATGCACAATCACCTGCCATTTGAAATCAAATCCATAACATCATTTTTTTCATTTCGCAAAGCATTGAATTCTTATTTACTAGACAAGGCTTTCTACGCCGTAAATGAATTATATTTTGAAAATCAAATTTGATCTTGTAAACACTGGTCTAATGTTTGCTATTGCTATATTTACTAATGACATCGAAATGAATTTATTTAGAGGTCATTGATATTTTACTATAAACTAGCTAAATATTTTTGAATATTATTTTTATTTTTTTGTTCTTTGACATTATAAACATTTATAAATGTTTATTTTAACAATAAGACTGACAATATTATTTGTATAATGTTTTGTATTATCTTTTGTTTGTTTGTTTGTGTACCTTGTTTTTTTACTTTGTTTGTTAGTTTACCTTTGTCTACAAATTGAAAAATTTTTTGACAATAAAGGCATTTATTATTATTATTATTATTACTACCAAAGTTGCCGGAATACAGTTTGGACCACCTAAATAGTTTATTAACAGCTTATTAATATCCAGCCAACCGACTTTTCAAATTGTATTTTTTTGTAAAAAAAATATATAAACTATTGTATTTTTTATAGGAAACTTATGAACTGTACCGTTTATTATCGGAAACTGGTGAGACCAAAAATGCCAGACTGGCTTACGATGCTATTTGGACCATGGCTTTGACTTTAAGAGAAAGTCATGTGGGTATGTTGGAAGATTTTAACTACAATAACAAAGAAATGGCCTGTTTATTTGTAAAAACAATGAGAAACTTGGAATTTATTGGCATATCTGTAAGTTTTTCATTAAGATATCAATATTTTTCACTTTCAAATTATTTTATTTTAAGGGTCCGATAAAATTTACTGGTGCTGATAGAGTAGGAGATTTTGTAATCAGCCAGATTCAAGGTAAACGGTCATGAATAAAGTATGATTTGTATGTATGATATTCTGCCCTTTTAGTCAATATACGGAGATATTCAAACATATTTTCAAAATAAGGTTGTATAATTTTAAATGATTACTAATATTTTTTAGATCAGTAAATTTTTCATTTCATAAATACCAAAATGTAATTTTCTATATACACAGTGGTTTCTTAAATATATGATAATTTAAAAACTAAATTTGCCACACATTTTAAACTCTCCCAAAACTATAAAATATTAAATAATTATTCCTATTTTTAAATGGAAATATTATACAGGGGAGTCTTAAATAAGAACAAATATTTTCAGGGCTGGTCAATACTTTCACCAAAATATCAACACTTTGTTTTCCCTCGTATAATTGGCAGATGAAACTTGTATTTTTAATTTAGAAAGAGATACTAAAAAGTACAATAATTTAGCTACATATTGCTTAAAAAATCATCAAAATTGGCCTACTAGAACAAAATATATTAAACATTAAAGTACATCTAACATTTTGAATGTTACTAACATCAAAATGTTAAGGTGCCTGTTTTTCGTGGCGGTGAGTGTATATTTAAAATCAACGTTTATAGTCTAATTTTCGGTATTTATATGATTATTTCCCACTGCATCAGAATATAATGAATCCTATTTATCGCACTTATTCGGTAAAACACATATTCAGGAATTAATTAACTTGAAAATCTACTTTAATTTAGGTATTAAAACAGCATTATCCTAAAAAAATATTAAGATCATAAATACACGTATTCATTTTGGGCTTTCAGTAGCGTTTAATGTACTAATTAACTCAAGTAGTTTTACGGTCGTGAACTGAATACATAATACGCTATAAACATGAGCAAATGCACAAACATAATTCGCGTTAAAACACCACTTGAAACCATTAAATTTAAATTGTATTCATTAAGGAATTTTTTTCATACCTTGAAAAAAAACAGTATGTTTTGCGTCTGCAAAAGAAATTTAACTGGATTTTTTTTTGTCAAATATAAAATGTTATATTTTTTTATAGTTTTAAACTGTATATAAATACAGGGTGGTCCGAACTGTATTCCGGAAACTTCGGCAGCATATTCTGAAGATAACAATAAGTAAAAATGTTCGTATACATGTATGTCCTAAAATGCTTAGTTTCGGAAAAACAGAGTGTAGATGTTTCATTTTTATTTCGAGATTCTTTCCAAATAATTTATGAAGTAACGTCAATATTTGGATGAAAATTGTGTGAGAGTTTTTTGACATGAGAAATTTTGATGTTAATATGACTCCTACTTCTAGAGGGCGCCACATACATATTTTTTAACAGGTTTGAATGGTAATAACTTTTTGTCCGTACCTGTATAAGACTACTGAGTAAAAAAATGTACATTTATGACGTTTTACGTAAAAAATTCTCTTGTAAAAAACGCTATGAGTTATGGCTCCCGAGATAACTGGAATCGAAATTATGAATACCTTTCATCATTGACCTAAATTAAATATGTTGACTAAATAGTTATTAGACTGAAATCATAACTTTAAAAAAAAATTAACACAAACCGTTTATCATTATTTTTTGCGGAAAAATTTATGATTAATTTAAAAAAATATAAATTTCCCAAATTTATTATTTCAGGCAAATAATTATAAACACGCGTTGAGTGTTTATTTTTTGTCAATAATAATATGTATTGACTATTTCCATTCTAAATATCTTGAGAATGGTTACTCGTAGCAATTTTTACCAAGAGGCATTTTTTGCGTAAAAAGTCACGAAAATGTATATTTTTTCACTCGGTAGTTTTATACAGGTACGGATGAAAAGTTATTACTCTTCAAAAGAGATAAAACACATGTAGGTGGCGCCTCCTACAAATAAGAATCATATTGACATCAAAAACAAATTTCCCATGTCAAAAAACTACCACACACCAATTTTCATACAAATACTGACGTTACTTCAGAAATTACTTGAACAAAAAACGAACTAAAAATGAAACTTCTACACCCTGTATCTCCGAAACTAAGCATTTTAGGACATACACTTATATGAACTTTTTTACTTATTTTTATCTGGAGAATATGCTGCCGAAGTTTTCGGAATACAGTTCGGATTACCTTGTATATCAACTTTAGTTCGTAAACTCATTTTCTTTATAAATTTTAGATTTTGCTTGTTATACAGGGTTAAAACGCCCTGTGCAATAATTTTATGAGCAAATTTTCCTACAACATAATTTATCAATCGGAACCTTTCAATCAAACGGAGCATTTTGTTCTTTGTTTCATGTCAAAACATGCCTTTGCTCATTTTTATGAGCGAAATGAACTTGTTACCAACAATTTGCAATTATAGAAGTTGATAATATAGGTTTTCGAGCATAGACAATATAGACATTATTTTTGGCTGGTGAAATGATCTGGGGAATCGCACTATGCTCTTTTTAATTGACTAAATGTCTTTTTCAATCAATTCTAAAGTGAAATGAACGTTGAACTCAATTTTCAGACGGCCGCATAACTGATGTGGCGTTATACGATTCAATTAAAGATAAACTGAATTTCGCTTGCAATGGCTGCCAAAAGATTTACTGGTATAATGGACTGATACCGATTGCTCAACGAATTTTAAAAGAGACACTGGGTAAGACATGGCCAGCTTTATATATTATTAAACAGAATATATTTTTAAATAATTAATATAAAAAATCGTTCTAACCACAGCTTATTCATATTATCCAGCTGGCCGACAATTATTTTATAGGTTGATCCAAATTGTATTCGGGAAACTTTGGCAACATATAAAAATAAGTAAAAAAGTTCGTATAAATGTATGTCCTAAAATGCTTAGTTTCAGAGATACAGGGTGATTTTTATTTTGATTTTTTTCAAATAATTTCTGATGTAACGTCAATATTTGGATGAAAATTGGTGTCTGGGAGTTTTTTGATATGGGAAATTTGATTTTGATGTCAATATGACTCTTATTTGTCAGGGGCGCCACGTACATGTGTCTTAACTGGTTTGAAGAGTAATAATTTTTTGTCTGTACCTGTATCAACCTACTGAGTGAAAAAATATACATTTCCGTGATTTTTTACGTAAAAAATATCTCTTTGTAAAAATTGTTACGAGCAATCGTTCTCAAGATATTTAGAATGGAACTAGTCAATACATGTCATTATTGACAAAAAATAAACATGTTGAGTAGATAGGTATTTGACTGAAGTTATATATTTGGGAACTTTTTATTTTTTTTAATTAATCATAAATTTTTTTTCGAAAAAATGATGATAAAACAGTTTCTGTTGAACTTTTGGCACAAAACATTTCAAATTTATTTGAAATGTGATATTTCAGTCTAATAACCATTTAGTCAACATGTTTAATTTATATCAATGATGACAGGTATTGATAATTTTGATTCCAAATATCTTGAGAACCATTACTCATAGCGATTTTTACTATTTAAAAAATGATGATAAAACTGTTTCTGCTGAACTTTGAGCACAAAAACATTTCAAATTTATGATACAAATTAATATCTAATAACAATTTAGTCAACATATGTTTAATTTATGTCAGTGACGACAGGTATTGATAAATTTCAATTCCAAATATCTCGAGAATCATTACCCATAGCGATTTTTACCAAGATATCTTTTTTACGTAAGAAACATCTTAAATGTATATTTTTTTACTCAGTAGTTTTATACAGGTACAGACGAAAAGTTATTACTCTTCAATACAGTTAAAAAATATGTAGGTGGCGCCCTCTACAAGTAGGAGACATATTGACATCAAAAGCAAATTTCTCATGTCAAAAACTCCCAGAAACCAATTTTCAACCAAATATTGACGTTACTTCAGAAATTATTTGGAAAATATCGAAATAAAAATGAAATTTCTACATCCTGTATCTCAGAAACTAAGCATTTTCGGACATACATTTATACGTATTTTTTTACTTATTTTTATTCTCAGAATATGCTGCCGAAGTCTCCGGAATACAGTTCGGACCACCATGTATATTGTGACTTGTTTGTATCTAAGTAAACAAACAAAACCGTATAGTACGAGAGCTAGCAACGTCGGAAAAACAAGTATTTTAAGACGTCTGGCTCTTTGATATATCTTTTACTATGCTCTCTAGAACAGCATGCGGCTCGTCTAGCTGCCGGTAAACGTTGCGTTCCCTACTGCGCATTGAAAGAGGATCCTATATTTTTATTAGTCCTTTAAATTCTAGTATTGAATATAAATCGAACATGTCTCCATAGCGCAGTGCGTAGAGTTTCCGACCACGAACCGATGATTCAGAGTTCGAATCCGGGTCAGGGCAAATACTTTTTTATTTTATTTTCGTTTATATTCTGATAGTAAAGTATTAAATATTTGTTTTTTTGAATCACTAGAATTATTAAATATATTTATTATAGCCCTGATCTGGATTCGAACTCTGAACCATCGGTTTGTGGTCGGAAACTCTACGCACCGCGCTATGGAGACATGTTTGATTTATATTCAATACTAGAATTTATAGGACTAAATTAACAAAAAATATAGGATTTTCTTCCGATGCGCAGTAGTGAACGCAACGGGTTTCGGGCCGCATGCTGTTCCAGAGAGCATAGTAAAAGATATATCAAAGAGCCAGACGTCTTAAAATACTTTCTCGAAAATGTTGCTAGCTCTTAGACTACGTGAAAAGTCAGGTAATTTTGTTGGTAATATTGGATTTAATTTTACCTTATTTTAGTTAATATACCAAACGCTCTGTATATTATAATTTGTGGAATTTCTTTGATGGGTATAGCGATATCTCTAGTATTCTTATATTTCAATATGAGATTTCGACAGTTGAAGACAGTAAAAGTAAGTACATATGAATTATTTGGCATTTTATCAATTAATCATATAACAGCTATTAGAAATATAAAATACAGACACTAGAATTATTTTTCGATCTGCTTACATTTTACAAGTACATCTTTTTACATCTTAACGAGAACTTACTGAATATTTTTATATTTCAGCTTTCTAGTCCAAATCTTAACAACATCGCTGTAGTAGGTTGCATTTTAGTTTATATCTCCGTTGTGTTATACGAAGTTCACAATATAACCAAAATGTGGCAACCATATGCCGACGAGTTATGTTCGGTAAGTAAAGTTATTTATTGAAATCTGGTTTGTAGATTAAATTAGAAACTCCTCTAAGGTTACACAAGAATGTTTAGTTTTAATCATTGTCTAATATTAATTACTATATAGGGTGGTCCGTACTGTATTCCGGAAACTTCGGCAGCATATTCTGCAGATAAAAATAAGTAAAAAAGTTCGTATAAATGTACTCCTAAAATGCTTAGTTTCGGAGATACAGGGTGTAGAAGTTTCATTTTTATTTCGATTTTTTCTAAATAATTTCTGAAGTAACGTTAATATTTAGATGAAAATTGGTGTCTGGGAGTTTTTTGGCATGAGAAATTTGATTTTGATGTCAATATGGCTCCTATTTGTAGAGGGCGCCACCAACATATTTTTTAACCAACTGGTTGGAAGACTGATATCTTTTCCTCCGTACCTGTATAACACTAATAAGTAAAAAATATACATTTACGACGTTTTTTATTTAAAAAAGATCTCTTGGTGAAAATCGAGGTAATGGTTCTCGAGCTATTTTGAATCTAAATTATCCAATACTTGCCATTATTGACATAAATTAACCATGTTTGCTAAATAGTTATTCGACTGAAATCATAAATTTTACATATTTTTGTGCCAAAAGTTCAACAGAAACTGTTTTAGCATCTTTTTTTAGAAGAAAAATTTATTATTAATTTAAAATAGTAAAAAGTTCCCAAATTTATCATTTCAGTCAAATAACAATCTACTCAACATGTTTATTTTTTGTCAATACATTAAATATTTCGACAGAGCTGCAAGCTCACAGAAAACTTAATTTTTTTCACTTAAAATCATTTTAATGACTTAAATCATTTGATTTTAAGTCATATTTTGAAAGCTGACTTAAGACTTAAAATTTAAGTCATTTTCAAAATGACTTGTGATTCCGAAATAATTTTCTTCCGTAAGAGAAAAAGTTTTAAGTCATTAAAAAAAGATTTAAGTCTTTTTCGAAAATATTTAAGCCACTAAAAAAGATTTAAATCTTTTTTAACGACTTAAGTCATTTTATGAAAGCCTTAAATATTTTAAAAGATTTAAGTCTTTTATGAGACTTAAGTCTTTTTAGAAAAGATTTAAGTCTTTTTTTATATATTTTTATCGTAAATTTTTAACAGCGGCATCAAATATGTGTTTACCATTTTTAGTTTCATAAAAAATAGCAACTGTGAAAACCGTATCTTTGTACCGCTGCTCATAAACGAGAAACCCTGTAAAACACTCAAAAATGGGGCAACCTGTACAAAGTACCACGAAATTTAATTTTATTTAGTTGTTTACATTATATTTTATTTTAATCTGTACCTACAATAAATTAATATATAGAAATTTTAAAACATTTTCCGATGCACGTCATCAATCACATTGAAATTGACACTAAAGCCTATAAACCTGAGTAAATGAAATTTTAGCAAAAATGTTTAAATTTGTTGACTAATTTAAAATACCAAGCAGCTCTTCATTATACTTTATAGAGCAAATGATTGTAACAGATATTTTATTTAGATTAAGGCTGCAAAAATTAGTTTAAACCGATTTTTATTATCTCCTTGTTGGTCACATTGCGCCATGTTCAGCAATGTTATGTATTATTTGACAATTATCCTAGTGTCACCCATTATTTTGTATAATATCGCGTTTTTGATTTTTTGGGAGTTATTGTCGTTTTTTGCCGTCTTTCATAGTTTTTTTTCTTTTAAATTGGACTTCTCAGCACGAACAGTTCTTTTAAGAACTAAATTTTCGAGATTTTTTACTGCATTTTTTGAAATTGTGGATTGAAAATATGCCGAAGCCTTTAAACAGTCGAAGCAAAGCACTTGTAGCTTCCCTGATAAATATTTTGAGCGCGAACGTGTATTGTATTGTATTGATTAAGAGTGGGTCCCATGAGACCCTCCACTGCGGCCGCGAAGGCCTATTGTGGCTCAGTTTCTACAGGCTCTAATATACAAAGAGCGTCAAAGTTCAAGACCCAGCCTTTTAACATAGGCCGTTATGTCTGAGGGCGATATGTCTCCTATGTCTGATAGGTCTAGCATGGGTTTACCAAACATCTCAAACCTGGTCCTGCCCCCAGCGGGGCAGGTACACATAACGTGCTTCATTGTTTCGTCATCTTCCATACAGAGTCGGCATTCGGCGTCTTCCACCAGTCCCATCCTCTGTAGGTGAGATCTCCGCCGGCCGTGGCCCGTGTACACTGCAGTGAGCGTACGCGCTCCATTCCTACCGGCCTTTAGGAGTTCTCCTGTTCTATGTTTGGATGGCCCTGCTAGGATTTTCTTGGCATGTTCCATTCCGGGACTGGAATGACAGTTCTGGAACCCATTCACGTCGCACCCCTAACCCATTCACAGAGCCTGTCTCTTGCGAGATTTTTAGGAACGCTAAGTGTCGGTTCTCGGCCCCCGAATGGCGAGCCTGCACCAATTTTGGCGAGGGAATTAGCACGTTCATTCCCTTCTAGGCCGACATGTCCCGGTATCCATATTAGCGACACTTGGTTCCTATCTCCTAATATATTGAGTAGTTTCTTACGATGAAGAATCGTCATAGACGTGCTTTTCGTTGTCTCAAGTGCTTTCAGCGCGGCTTGACTATCCGAAAAAATGCATATTGTTTTCCCGGTGTATTGCTGTTCTACCAGCAGTTGCACACAGGTTTCAATAGCATATAGCTCAGCTTGGAAAATTGTGGTGTGTTTTCCAAGACTGTGCGAACGTGACAATAAAGGTCCTTTATTACCCTTGAATGCAGTCAGAGAAGTAAGATTGATTGGTAAGCACATTATACCACTTTCAAGTTATTTCTACTTATTTCAATTTGTAGCAAGTAGCTGCTGTCTTAAAAAATATATGTAAAAATTAGATACTAAATATATTGTTCGTCACTTTTAAATTAAGATTCATCTCATAAATCCATCACAATCTGGCAGCGCTGTCCCATCGCTTGTCACTCAACGTCGATGACGTGCATTGGAAAATGTTTTAAAATTTCTATAGATAATAAAAAATCATGGGTAAAAATTAATATTAACATTTAAAAAATAGGTATTTAAATTGAATTCTGGTTATCTTGACTCGAGGGAAATTATAAGGATTTAAGTCATTTTACTGACTTAACTTGCAGATTATCATAATTTAAGTAAAAAAAAAAGACTTATATAACTATACAAAAGTCATATTTTCTTGGGCTTAGGTTCGTTAATAAATAATAAATTTAGTTTTTTTTAAAACATCTTCTGGCGTTTCGCCCTTAAGTTCGGGGCATCTTCAAAAGTTTTTATTATCTAAAAAATGTTTTTTTTATTATAAATTACAATGTCAAAATAAACACTAAAAACATTCATACAACAAATTAAACTAATATACTATATAATTGAGTCAATTAGCTAACAAATACAATTAAAAAACAAGAAAACATGTAATTTAAAAGGGATACGCACCTTCAGATTTTTATTTTTTCAGGATGTTCGTGCTATTCAGCAGGTCTTGCTTTAATAGTTTACTGTATGTTAAGAATCGTATCAACACTTGGAATGCATTTTTTGTTTTTTTTTGTTGTTTTTTGTTTGGATAAATGCGTCTTTCTGCTGGTCACAAAATTAAGGGTCCTATATCGCATATTTACATTAAGAGTACCTACTATGATTCGTTTATTTTTCTTATCTAGCGTTTATTTTTTTAGATCGAAATGTTATTGTATATATTGTAAAATTGGCCTATTTCAGTCTTGTCATTAACGGCGTTCGGATGTTTTTTTTATTTCTATAACTTCTTTTATAGCCAACTTGTTATAATTTGTGTCTCTATTAATTATTTTTGTGTTATGGTAATCAAAAGAGTGGTTAGTATTTTCTTCGTGTTTGTGAAGTGCAGTTTTTGCTGATTTTTGGTACTTATGACCATTTATTCTATTCTTGAGAAGTTGGGATGTCATTCCAATATATATTTTAGGACAATCAGAACATGGAATTGAATATATAACATTTGATCTTTTCATAGTTGGTACTTTGCTTTTAAGTTTAGTAAACAAAAAGTTGAGATTATTATACGTTTTTTGACAGACAGTTATATTATGTTTTTGTAGAGTATTTTTTAAATTCTCTGAAAGGTCGTGAACATATGGTAAGGCGACATAGGTGTTTTTTTCTGTATTACCACTTTCTTTTTTATTACTGATCGAAATTGAGTTATAAAACTTATAAGTTCTTTTTTTAAAAATTTGATTGATTTTCTTAATATTATAATTATTCCCAACTAAAGTCTAGCTAATTTTTTTCAATATGGTAGGTCTAAATTGTGGGGATGTTAGAGCAATTGCACGGTCAGTTAAACTTATGATGACACTAGTTTTTTGGCTTTTGGAGTGATTGGAGTGACCATTGAGATATCTACCTGACCAAGTAGGTTTTGTGTACCACTTAGTCAAAATTTTGCTGTCCTTTCTGATAAGAGTCATATCAAGGAAGTTTATTTCATTGTTATTTTATAGTTTTCTGAAGTAAATTGTAAATTTTTGTGAAACTTATTAAACGCTTGTTGGATATCAGTTACTTTATCGTTTGGTACGGCAACTAAGCAATCGTCAACGTAACGTTTAAAAAAAATGATGTTAAAATTTAAATCTCCTATTACAGTCTCCTCCAAAAACTCCATTACCATTTGTGCTATAACTGATGATATAAGGGAGCCCATAGCACATCCATTTAGTTGTTTATAGAAGGCTTCGTTATACTGAAAATAATTCAAAGAGAACATGAGATTGACAGCCTCAAAAAAGTTATTTTTTGAAAGTGTGGTATGCTCTTTCAGAAGGTCCCATTTTTTATTTAGAACGGTTTGGACCAACTCGTAAAGTATACTTGTGTATAAGGACACCACATCTAAAGACAAAAGTTTGTAACCTTGTGGAATTGTTTGGGTTTTAAGAACTTCCTTGGTCAAGGAAGTTCTTAAAGGAAAACGAGTCTTTAATGTAAAATTCGTTTTGACATGTTATTTTAGATATACAATCTGCCAAATATATTGATAATTTATATAAAGGAGATCCTATATACGATACTATTGGCCTAAGTGGCAGATCTGGCTTGTGGACTTTAGGTAGACCATATATTTTAGGCGCAGTTGGGGTTATGTATGCTTAAGTATTTTGAAACATTTTCATTTATTTCGTTTTCGTTTAATAATTTTTTAACAAAAGTATTATTTCTATTTTGAAATATATTCGTAGGGTCACTGTTTATTTTTTTATATATGTTGTTGTTAAGCATATTTTCCATTTTATCTTCATAATCGATCTTGTTCATAACGACAGTTTTATTGCTTTTATCTGGTCTTAAAATTATTATACTTGGGTTTTCCTTTATGAAATTCCTTGTTTTATGAATGTTATTTTTTATCTTTTTTTGAAGTTTGTTTTGTTTTATTTTTTTATGTTTAATTTTAATTTTATGGTTAGTAATTGCATTTGTAATTTCAGCTCTAATCAAATTTTTGTCGCTGTCAGATTTTCCTTTTATTACTGATTCTACGGCCGCTATGTACTCTGTCGTAGGTATATCATGTTCTCTTGTAACGTCCAGAGCAAATTTTGGACCTAGTGATAAAATTTCAGCAACACCTTCTGGAATCGGGGTGTTTGATATATTTTGGATCCAGTTAGAATTATAATTTTATATTGGTGTTATGTCTTGTGTGTTTATTAGTCTATTTAACTTTTTTTGATGTTTGTCTTTAATTTTCAAATAAGTAATTTCGCATTTTTTTTGTTCAAGACTCAAAAATGTTTTCAAAGTATCGTTAGGAATAATATTTTTTATTTTATCAATTGTTTCATTAATGCTTTTGTTGATAAGATTTATGTTTTTAACAGTTTGTGTAATAGATAAATTTAATAAATCGAGTTTAGTTTTTGACATAATGCTATTAAATTTCGTCTCAAGGTACGTACCTTTAAAACATAGATGATTGACATTCATTTGTAGAAACTTCGGTGTTACGTCCATGTGTTTACATCTAAGTAGGAATATTCTTCTATTTTTTTGCGTCGCTAATTTGGTATATAACTTGGACATTTCTTTCAATATTTTTGGTGCGTCCAATCCATATTTTACTTTAATACTTTCGTAGACTTAATGCTTTAATGCTTTCGTGACTCAATTATATAGTATATTAGTTTAATTTGTTGTATGAATGTTTTTAGTGTTTATTTTGACATTGTAATTTATAAAAAAAAACATTGTTTAGATAATAAAAACTTTTTAAGATGCCCCGAACTTAAGGGCGAAACGTCAGAAGATGTTTTTAAAAAAAACTAAATTTATTAATTATTAACGAACCTAAGCCCAAGAAAATATGACTTTTGTATAGTTAAGAAATGGTTCAAGAAAACTTACGCAAAAAAGACTTATATAACGTTATATTGATTTAAGTCTTTACAAAAATGACTTGACTTGAAAGAAAATTACTTAAATCAAAGACTTAAAACCTAAGTCATTTGAACTTTATATTAAAGTTGACTTAAGACTTAAATCACTTTGATTTTAGAAATGACTACTTAAGACTCAAGTATTTTTAAAACTGACTTGTTGCAGCTCTGTATCTCGAGAATGGTTGCTCGTAGCGATTTTTACCAATAGACATTTTTAAGGTTTTATTTATTTTGTATAGATAATGAATGGTACGGAACCCTTCGTGCGCGAGTCCGACTCGCACCTTCAAAGCAGTTCAGCTTTGATTAAACAATAATTTCTGTAGATTTTAAAAATAAAATGCTAGAAAACAAAAGTGTTTTTCTGTATTCTAGATTAACGTTTACTTGCTGTCTGCCGGTTTTTCTCTAACTTTTGGCTCGATCTTTGCCAAAACGTACCGAGTTCATCGTTTATTCGCCTACACAACAGCCGGCCTCGTTCGAGATAAACTGCTCAAAGACCAGCATCTAATCGGCCTGATATTGATTCCTTTATTCATAGACACTGCAATAATGAGCTTATGGTTGGCGGTGGATCCCCTAAATAAGCGACTGTATAATTTACTGCTCGAAATTAGTCCAGACGATCCCAGAGTGGTTTATCAGCCCCAGGTAAATCTATACTTAGATTAACTTATTTAATAATATTGCAACAGTTCTGTGTAAGACAAGCGCTTCTTTGATGCTCCATACACTGTGTATACAGGGTTGTTCACCACATACGACAAGGGGTATTGTAGCTAAATGATTTAATTTTTGCAAATTGTAAGTTTTGGGTTCGTTGAAGGACTATTAGAGCTACAATTTAAAAACATTTTTACAAGATACAGAGTGTCCCAAATAAATAAAAAATATCAAAGTTGTATTTTTTAAATGAAACACCCTGTATATTATTGCATTTTCAGTTTCTACGAATAAAAAAAAGGTAAATATGATTAAGGTTTACCGCATTTTCATCTTACCGTTTTTGAAATATTTTGGTTTAGGGCAAAATACAGTAGGTAATAATTTTAATGCTTCATTTCTTTAGACGTATTTAAGTTTTAAAACCAAATATTGTACTGAAGTATTTCTTGTTACTAAATTTTGTGTTGTAATAATAAAAATTATACTACCTTATACAGAGTGTCGAAAAATTTATTTTATATAATTACTAGTTTTAAACGGCAATAACTTGTTTAATTTAAATGGAACATCCTGTATATGTTATCAGAATCAAATGGCACAATTTAATTGTCTATCAAATTGTATTATACCATATTTTAAGACTAGCTTTTGACATTTAGATTATTTTTAAAGATGTAACAAATTTTTAAAGAGTACAGATACTAATTGTCGATATGGTTCCTTTATTTCATTAAAAAAATAAATAAATAAATGCCTTTATTCCCAAAAAATTTTACAATTTGTAGACAAAGGTAAAGTAAACAAACAAACCAACAAATAAAAGAGAATACAAAACATTATACAAATAACATTGTCAGTTTTATTGTTTAAAATAAACATTTATAAATGTTTACGATGTCAAAGAACAAAAAAATAAAAATAAGATTCAAAAATATTTAGTAAGTTTGTACTAAAGATCAATGACCTCTAGATAGATTTATCTCGATGTCATTGGTAAATATAGTAATAGCAAACAGACCAGTGTTTGCAAGATCAATTTCAATTTCAATTTTCAATTTCAAGATCAAATTCGATTATTAAAATGTACTTAAGTCATTTACGGCGTAGAAAGCCTTGTCTAGTAAATAAGATTTCAATGCTTTGCGAAATGAAGAAAATGGTGTTATGGATTTGATTTAAAATGGCAGGTGATTGTGCATTTTTTCGAGTTGTATAATATTGAATTTTTAACTAACTCGTAAAAGAGCTAAAGAGACTAACAGTGCGTAAAGGGTAGGTAGATAAAGATCTTGCTCCGCGTTCCTGAGTGGATAAGTGTGAGATGGCCTTTCTTGAGAAGCTGATACATGCTTACGTATTAGGCAAACGGATTCAAATATAAATAAGGAAGGAAGAGTTAATATTTTTAATTTTTTAAAAAAGTCTTGGCAATAAAAAAACTGTTTAAATATTTGTTAAAAAGGACAAATTAATATGATTCCAGTATTCAAACTACATTAAATGACTGCGTTGATTAATAATGTTACGGATTCCGTGGGTCCACTATTTAAACTCACGATAAAATACTTAACGAATTTATTTTCTCACTTTATACACAATTACTAACTTATAACACACAACAAACTAAGATTCCTTCACCAAATTGTCCGATTTTCAATTTCCACGCGGTATATTCAAATTTCAAAAACTGTCTCAGTTGTCGATGGCTCCGGCTTATATACTCTTCTGGTTTTTATAGAGACACCGTGTATAGCTTTTGAGCAATCTATAATACAAGTTACAAAATTAATGCTAGTTTAGTAAACGTACAGCGTACTCTAAATTAACGTGATACAGAGTGGTGGGTGTATCAGCCTCAGGTGGCATTTTAATTAGGTTAACTTATTCAGAAATTTACAATAGGTCTTTTCAAATATCTAATACGCAAGCTTCCAGTAACTAAATTAAATTTGCTTTATTAAACGTATCCTTTTATTATTTGTTTACAAATTTGCTGCAAGTCCAGAATGCTATCAGCCCCAGGCAAATTTATAATTAGGTTAACTTATTAAAAAAATCGTAACGGTCGTGTTCAAAACATTCTCTTCTTTGATGCCGTTAGCTCCCTCGATAGCTATTATTCAAGCTGCAAAATTAATTTTGTTTTATCAACTACACACAGTGTCCCATTTTGGTTGCAACTTTTTAGCCGACCATACCAACAGGTATTAAGATCGGCAAAAAAAAGTTTTTTTAATTTCACTCAAAATGAGTTATTTGGGTCATAAATGACCTAAATACAAAATATTTTCAGGGTGTCTGTCTGTCTGTCCGTCTATAACACGATAACTCAAAAACCGCTAAACCGATTTTAACCAAATTTGGCACAAAAATACTGTGGCACCCGAGAATCTGGTCATTAGTTTTTGGTGGGGGTGGGGGTTGGTAAGGGGGTATGGGAGGGGGCTAATATATATCTGTATATGTCAAACCGCCTGCACCCACACCAACATATAGAAAGAATCGCAAACGGGCTTTTCGACTCTGTGAACAGAGATACGAGGCTTTGGGCAATTATAAGCTAAACATCGATAAAACTAAAATCGTGTGCACTCCCCGGAAGATCACAACAATGCTATAAAAATCGATGAGCTGTTGGAATATGTAGCGGAATTCAATTACCTCGGCAGTTTGATTTCGGAGAAGGCCAATATCGACTCTGAAATTCAGCACAGGATTAGCAGCCCCTCAAGAGCATTCTGGAAATTAAAAAGACAGGGTTTTCTACAATCATGACTTGAGCACAAAACGAAGCTTGCAGTATACCGAGCAATAATAATTCCCACCATGTTATGTTATATGGAACAAATCCTGGAGTGCATATACCGGATCACTGAACGCATTAAACAAGTTGCAACAGAGACATCTTAGATAACTCTTAAGAATAAAATGGTTCCATCATGTCTCAAACGTATCGGTCCTTGAAAAAGCTAACTGCGAGAGAATTGAAGTCATGATTGCAAAGTCCCGCTTAAGATGGGCTGGTCGTATTCAGAATGCAAGAAAACCGCATACCAAAAGCTCTGCTTTACGGTGAGCTTGTAGACGGTAAGAGGAGGCCGGGTGGACAACTCAAAAGGTACAAGGATATTTGCCACGAAAACTTAAAGGGAATTAACAAGCAGAATGAGTGGGAGGAGGCAGCTCACAATAGAACGGAATGGAGAAGAATTGTAAAGTCAGTTAACAGCGACAACCAAAAAGTAAAGAGGCAACAAAGTAATGAGATTTTTGAATGTCTGGAGTACGGTAGACAAATAACATCACGTATCGGGCTTTTCAGTCACAGAAAAGCTCATGAAAGAAAACGCCTTGCGTGACCATCTTCTGATGCGTGACAAATACTCGTCAGCGAGTAATGGCAGTATGTATGTAAATATAAAATAATTTTTCTTCGTTTTTTTTTTAAATCGAACACCCTGTATATTATTTTCCCAATAGATAGAGAATTAAAAAAATTAAATTTACTTGTATTTAGAGTATTTCAAAATATTTAACTGTTTCGCAGATATTCGCGCTTTTATATTTAATATGTCATTTTCAACAGTAAATTTTTAACAAAGCCATCCAATGGTTTTTCTTTTCATACATTACCGTTGAAAGAACCATATGAAATAATACTGCGTGTGTCTGCGAAACCATTCAAAATTTTGAAATACTTTAAATCCAAAAAATGTCCATTTTTTAACCCTCCATCTAATAAAACAATAATATACAGGCTGTTCCATTAAAAAAAAACAAAGAAAAGTTATTTTATATTTGAGAAAGCTTCTTTAAAGTCATACATAATCAATATACTAATATATGTCATTTCAAGATTAATCCATATAAGTATTTTGAAGGAGTCGGTTAGTCTATACAGGGTGAGTCTTAAATAAGCGTAAATATTTTTAGGGGTGGTACATTTCGACTCCAGAAACACAATTATGAGTTTTTTCGCGAAAAATGTTTTGTATAGTTTTCAATTTTTTAATTTTTTTTTAGTTTTTAGTTAAAAAACATATGTAAGGTGATCTGAAAAGAAGTCAAAAATTCAATAATATACAGGATGTTCCATTTATAAAAACTCATTCCGATCCACTCACACTTTTTTGAGCCACCTATAAAAGTTAAAATATTTTCCTGAAATGCAAATTTTTTATTCTAGGATGCCCATATATTTTTTCACTTTTTTAAAATAAGTGTAAAAGGTTGTAATAGACTACCCCTATTATTCTTGTCTGTGCTGATTTGACATTAAAAAATAAAATATCAATCCTAATGTATAGTTTGTTATAATTTTTTTTATTATAGGTACATACTGATTTTTTTTTTAGATTGGTATATGCCAATGCCAGAACACTATAGGATGGTTCATAGCCTTATTTGGATACAAAGGTCTAATTCTGATAATGGGGGCATATATGGCCTGGAAAACACGACATGTCAAGGTTCCAGCACTTAATGATTCCCACTATATCGGAATTTGTGTATACAGCTGCGTATTTTGCACAGTTATAGTTATCGTGTTCAGTTTTGTCACCGACTATTTCATTTTAAGCTACATCGCCAAAACAACAAGCATATTGATATCGACGACTATAGTTGTAGTGTTGATGTTTGTGCCAAAGTTAAAGTCAATATTTTGCAAAGTAGATGAAGAGGTTAATATAATGCAGACTATGGGATTGAAGGTAGAGTATAATACGAGAAGATTCATTGCTGATGATTCAAAAGAAGCTTTGAATCGTTTGGAGATTCAAAACAGAGTTTATAAGGCTCGACTTGAAGATCTCGATAAAGAAATCGCTTATTTAGAAGATTTGTTAAAGAACTATTCTTCGAGTGATTTAAACAAAGCACATACAGAAATATTTCACGTAACCGCAGATTTGAACTACTTTCGTATACCTCGTTCGTCGTGGCCTACTTGGGACAACAGAACTAGCATTAAACAGTTTTCTTCTGAACATAAATTGAACAACGTGAAAATCTCGGAAAAATTAAATATTTTGGGTAAACTAAAACGGTTGTTTGGAAGCATTACGTCTTTGGGAAACAACAAAATCGATAGCAGGCAAGAAGGAAGCCGGGAAAACGAGGTGTTGAGGTCCAATCCGGAGATTTTTAGCAGGCTTTATGTTCCTGTTAATCAGGATTTCGGTGGGATAAGTTCGGAGGCATGTGTTAGAAAGTCTTATTAGAGGCAAATTGCGAAGACTAGCTTTAGACGAATTAAAATAAATTCTTTTTAGTCCGTGTTAAGAAAAAAAGTATTTTGAAATAGATATCTATAGTTCTGGTGTTAATTTTTGTACCAAAATTAAGATCAATATTTTGCAACGTTTATTATAAACTTATTCTGGTTTTCCTACAATTTTTTTTATTATTTTGTTTTTTTATATTGGTTAGCAGATTTAAACTACCTTCGTATACCTCGGTCGTCGTGGCCTACTAGAACTAATTGTGGCCTAATTGAACAACGTGAAAAACTCGGAAAAATTAAATATTTTGGGTAAACTAAAACGGTTGTTTGGAAGCATTACGTCTTTGGGAAACAACAAAATCGATAACAGGCAAGAAAGAAGCCGGGAAATCGAGGTGTTGAGGTCCAATCCGGAGATTTTTAGCAGGCTTTATGTTCCTGTTAATCAGGATTTCGGTGGGATAAGTTCGGAGACATGTGTTAGAAAGTCTTATTAGAGGCAAATTACGAAGACTAGCTTTAGACAAATTAAAATAAATTCTTTTTAGTCCGTGTTAAGAAAAAAAGTATTTTGAAATAAATATCTATAGTTCTGGTGTTAATTTTTGTACCAAAATTAAGACCAATATTTTACAAAGTTTTTTTTTTAAAACTTATTCTCGTTTTCCTACATTTTTTTTATTATTTTAATAATTTTCCTTACATTGGTTATTACGTTACGTTTCAAGATTTGTTGAACTATTCTTCTAGCGATTTAAACACAGAACAAACAGATATATACAGGGTGTCCCAGCCCCAACTACAATATCTAGATCAGATATTTTTTGCACATCACCTTTTCACAATGAGATCTATCAATTAAAAATACTTTTAATATGACGGAACTTAACAGAAACTTTCTTATTTGAAATGGGTACCCCTATTTTTTCTTACATATTTAAATTCTCTATATAATTTTATGTGAATTTTGTTATCAAACACTCTATACCTAACATTAACCGTTTTTGAGAAAAAAAACCTTTGGACGAAAAAAAACTGCCTGTGAAAATAAATTGTACAGGGTGGGTCAAATTCGACGCTTTTAAATGGAAACACCCTTTTCTGTAGGAGATAGACAAAAACTAATATCGGTGTCTGGAGCTCAATTTTTGTCAAAAACATGATGGTGATAACCGCATATCGATATCTGTTACCGTTTCGGAGTTACGGGGTGTTTTTCAAAAATATGCATTTTTAATAAATCGCTGTAACTTTTTTGCTATGGAATATGTTGTATTTTTATGAAAACATTTCCAAAGCACCTTTTTACGTAGAATTTAATGGTTTAAGTATAATTTTTGTAAAATTAATAATTTGATAATTATCAACAAAAAATTTGATTTTTTATATGGGACACCCTGTATGTTTTTAGTTTATTGAAAAAAATTTAAAATTACCTTTCCAAAAATATAACACACTTGATATTTTGCTCGATTCCTCTTCGAGATATAGAGTATATACAAATTTGCCCGCTTTAAATAAGTAGGCTTTGAACGGCACCGGCTATGATTTCAAAAAATTGACAAAAAATTCAAACTGTGAGCATCAATTAAAACGAAGATAATATTTGTTATGAGAGATGCAGAATTTTATAACAATTTAAAATATATTTAACCAACATCAACACATTTAAACTATATCTAATAAAAATAAATAGCAAACCAAGACATGAGATTTTGCTAGAGATGTTCCACATATCGACGTCTTCTGTTATGGACAGACGGGGCACTTTTTGAACATTTCTCGCGGAATTCATTAACTCAGTAGGGGTGAAAGGTACCCTCTCATAACTGCTAAGTATTTCTAATGCTTGTCTAGATTATACGGAATAAGGAACCTTTATTCTTCAGCAAATATATCCATAGGATTAGATCCATGGGCACTAAGTCAGGGGGCCTCGACGGCCAACGGCTGGGGTCTTGATTAGCTATTCAATTATTCTTGAAATTGGCTGCAAAAATTTGCTGATAACTTCAGCGTTCAGAGGCGGTGCGTCGTCATGCTGGAAAAATATGTTTTCGAGTTCCATTAAGGGCATAACAGCAATAAGGGATCCAAAGCCTACTAGTTAAAAGTGGCGAACTTTTAAAAATTCTGTATTTCGAAGGGGATTATAACAAAATATCAGGTGTGCTATATTTTGGAAAGGTAATTTTAAATTTTTACAGTTAATTAAAAATATAGGGGTGTCCCAAATAAAAATCAATTTTTCTGTTGATAACTCTTAAATTATTATTTTTATAAAAATTATACTTAAACCATTAAATTCTACGTAAAAGGTGCTTTGGAAATGTTTTCATAGAAATACAAAATTTTCCATAGCAAAAAAGTTACAGCGATTTGTTAAAAATGCACATTTTTGAAAAACACCCCGTAACTCCGAAACGGTAACAGATATTGATGTGCGGTTTTCTCCATCATGTTTTTGATGAAAATTGAGCTCCAGACACCGATATTAGTTTTCGTCTATCTCCTACAGAAAAGGGTGTTTCCATTTAAAAGCGTCGAATTTGACCCACCCTGTACAGCCTAAACGTCAAATTTAGTGATTACCACAGCCACTGTGACATAAAGAGAAGACATGTGGCCATCTATTTCAAAAATTAAATTTTTTGGAATGTCATATAATATTGGCCGTCATGCAGTTGAGAGATTAAAAATTTTCATAATTTTTTTTTTCAATTGAAACCTACTCTTTTATTTTGTTAAACTTATTAACTAAAGTAAATCGTTTTTAAGTTATTTAAGATTTAGTTTTAAAGCGTAAATTGTTCTTGATTTTACCTAGCTTCTTTAAAGTCATACATAATCAATATACAAATATATGTCATTTCAAGATTAATCCATATAAGTATTTTGAAGGAGTCGGTTAGTCTATACAGGGTGAGTCTTAAATAAGTGTAAATATTTTTAGGGGTGGTATATTTCAACTCCAGAAACACAATTATGAGTTTTTTCGCGAAAAATGTTTTGTATAGTTTTCAATTTTTTAAATTTTTTTTTAGTTTTTTGTTAAAAAACATAATTGCTTGATAATATGGCAACATAGGTAGTAGAGTAAATTTACAACAATGAAAACCCAGAAAGATCCAGTGGTTCTCAAAATTTAAACAAGAGTTATTTTTTTTTTAATTTTCAACATAAAATAACTCGGTTATTTTGGACTTATTTGAAAAACGGTAAGGAGAAAATATGTTTCTTTTTTTCGAGATCTACCAGCCCTGAAAATATTTGCACTTATTTAAGACCCTGTATAGAATACCAATCAATATTTCCTTAAAAATATTCTGTATTTTATGTATTGAGGAAAGGAAATGTATATTTAATGTCATCCTCATATCGTGGATGGGTTAAAATGAAAATGTACTCTAGAACCTTATTGAAATTTTATACAGATTATAAATTATTGCACAATTTTATTATTATCCGACATAGAATTGCACTTAGAAGAACGGTATTTATAAATAAATAGGTCTCATGAATTTTGTAATAATATACAGAGCGATTTATAGAAACAACGCAATTACTTTAAAGACTTTTAAAGAAGGCGTCCATTCTTCTCGAAGAGACCTGGTTTAAATTATTTTTTTTTCTACTTAAAGACTTTTGTTGAACGGGTTAGGCCGAGTCCACACAGGTCCGCAACAGTATTTATGAATTAAAAAAGAAGTATTTCTATATTTTACGTAAAAAAGGTAAACTCCCGACCAAACTTTTTTATGATAGCTAATAAAAACCGTGAAATATAAAAAAAGCTGCAAAGGTGAAGCCTGTCATAAAATTATTTTTAGTACGTTTATAGCACAGTCTCCTGCTGCCAATAGGTTACATTTTATATTACAGCATCCAAGTAAAATTCTTTTCGAAAAGTAACATTTATATGTATTGCTATTTCCATGTGGAAGAAACTTAATAACATAAACATATAATATCTATTTTACGTTATAAAAATATTGTCCTCCTTTTGTCGTAGTTCATTTTCAATACTTAGTGATATTTATTCTGGAATTAATCCAGTAAAATTGTATCGCCGTATAGAGAGTGAAAAAAAAATTACGGACAAGCTGATTTTTTCAGAGTTTATCAGCGACTGTCTTCTGAGTGTAAAATAAACAAAATCGGAAATTTTCCTCTTGCGGTTTTTGAGCAATAGGGGTGTTTTTTTTAAACTGTACTACAACAAAATAATTAGACGCAAATTGTATTTTTTTTTGTAATTTTTTTTTCAAATGACAATTTTATTGGATTAAATTGGTTTTATAATTTGTTATACTTGGTTTACAAGACACGCATTACAAAAAATGACAAAGACAAGTTAATTACTAATAAATAAATGCCTTTATTGTTTAAAAAATTTTCAATTTGTAGACAAAGGTAAACTAAACAAATAAAGTAAACAAACAAAAGAGAATACAAAACATTATTTAACATTAATTACTAAGCGCATTACCATGGGGCTCACTAATCAGAGGTGCAACAAGTCAGTTTTAAAAATACTTAAGTCTTAAGTCAATTTCAATATAAAGTTCAAATGACTTAAGTTTTAAGTCTTTGAGGTAAGTCATTTTTTTCAGGTCAAATCAATTTTCTGAAGACTTAAATCAATATAACGTCATTTAAGTCTTTTTTTGACTAAGGTCTTTTTTTTACTTAAATCTTTTTTTTTCTTAAATCATGATAATCTGCAAGTTAAATCAGTAAAATGACTTAAATCATTACAATTTCCCTCAAGTCAAGACAATCACAATTCAATTGAAATACCTATTTTTAATTGTTAAATTAATTTTCTTATATTACCTATTAAAACCGATTTTTTTACTATCTATATTAAATTAGAATAAAATATTGTATAAACAACTATAATGAACATTAAACAATAAAAAACAATAAAAAAATAAACGCATCAAAGACATAAAAACACACATAAAAAATAATAAATAAATAAAAAGAAAAAAAAAAACATAAAGAAAAATAAAGAAATAATAATAATAAAGATAAAAAAATAAAATAAATAATAAATAAATAAAATAAAAAATAAAGAAATAAATAAAACAAATAGGGAATAAAGACATTTTGAAAATGACTTAAATCTTAAGTCTTAAGACAGCTTTCAAAATATGACTTAAAATCAAATGATTTATGTCATTAAAATGATTTAAGTCAAAAAAAGACTTAAGTTTTCTGTGAACTTGCAGCTCTGTCACTAATAGACAACTTTTCCCCAATTTAAGCCACCCCGTATCCCTTACCGTTTCCTAAATCATAATGGTTAGATTCAAATTTGTAAACACCCTGTATATATAATTTTCTGTATTTGCATCCCTTTTAGTGCCCTAACCATAGAGTAAAGCTGTAGCTATGGTAATATCAGAGATTAAGAAATTATACCGTGGGAAAATTTGCGGTAAACAGGCAGTTCTAAAAAGTTTTCGAAAAATATACAAGGAAATTTAAAAGAAAATGCACGATTTTCAACATCTTTTTCTTTCGAAATATACCGCCCCTGAAAGTATTTGCACTT